CGCGCTGTCGTAAAGTGCCGTGAACGCGCCGGCGCTTGGCGGCTCCGCAGGTGAAGCGTGCGGCTTGGGTCCCGGCTGGGCGCGAACCCGCCCCGGGCTGCTGCTCCCGCGGGAAGGCTGCAGGGAGCGAGTGGGGAGCACCCGGCCCGACGCCGACGGTCTCGCCGGGTGAGGGTCTGCTGCTGGCCGGGGAGCAGGAGAGGAAGCGGGGGGGCTGCCCAGGAACAGTGCTTCCCACCCGATCCTTGTTGAGGAGGCGGGACGTCAGGGGCCACGGCCTCCCCCGGGGGCCCGCGGGGCCGCCAGGTGCCCTGTTGGTTTCCCTCCTCGTGCGCATCGCTAGACGTCGGGTGTCCTCGGGTAGCTGACACCTGTCTCTCTTGTCCATTTGTCCTGCAGGCTCCCTCCCCCCTGGGCTTTGACATGCTGTACCTGGTCGGCTTGGGCCTGGGAGACGCCAAGGACATCACGGTCAAGGGCCTGGAGGTGGTGAGGCGCTGCAGCCGCGTGTACCTGGAAGCCTACACCTCGGTGCTGACCGTAGGCAAGGATGCCCTGGTAGGTGCCAGCCTGCGGGTAAGGTTGCTGCCCCGCAGCCCATTGCATCACAGCGCCCTGCCCCGCAGCCCATTGCATCACAGTACCGAGCGGAACCGGCTCCCCAAGGATGTGGGGAGAGTGGGATTGTGCACCAGTCAAGTGGCCTGGAAATGAAAGGGCGTCTTGTCCGGCTTCGCAGGTCTGATTTTGTGGCTTTCTCCAGTAAATAGGAAGGGAAGGTTATTTTCACCCCCGGGGATGTTTCTCAGCATCCCTTATTTCAGGAGAGCGCCAAGAAATCCTTCCTGAGAGGAGGGCGAATGAGGGGCCGATCCAGCCTTCATGGGATGGTTACCTATTCAGAAACCAGGCTGAGAGTCTCCCTCGCCAAGTATGTCCATAGGGAATGGTGATTGCCTTTCCGCCTGTGTCCATCCAGAGAGGTCTTCTCACCTTTAAATAACCAGCTCCCATCCCAGTAAGGCTTGTACCCAAACACCTGTGGGTGCTGAGTGATCCTGGGGTACAGCTGGCCATCATTAAGGACTCCTTGAATTTTGGAGGAGGGAGTAAGTTCAGGTTCATCGTCAAACTCCAAGTGCAATGTAAATGAAGATGCAAAGGTCGCCGAGCAGGCTATTGGAGGACGGAGGGAATTTTACAGTTGTCCAGTCTAGCAAGGCTTCCAAACAAAAAGCTTCCCTAGAAAGTTTCAGGTCTTCTATCCTCTCAGACCCACAGCCTCACAGGCAGCATTATTTCTCTATTCCCTAGTATTCAAGCTTAAACTAGAGATGGAGAATCTGATTTGGGTGTATACATCTTGAATTTCTTTAGGCAATTTCTGTGGATAAATATATGCCTTTGGTATAATGTTACCTGCGTGCATGATACAGAGATGTAGACTATGATGTTTGGTTGCAAGTGGCTCATGATATATCTGTATTTTACCCAGGAAGACATAAATAATAATGGACGATTTAAGGAGTAGTGCATGATGGCAGTGGGAGGGGGAAACTGTAAAATTATATTGCTGGGAAAAACTCACATGACCTTTTTTAAGTCCACATTCTTGCTTTTGCCAACTAGGTAGGAGAAGCTGTCTCATGGTAAATAACTAGCTAGTTGTTCATTACAATTGGAGTAGATCAGTGGTTCTCAACCTTCTCGCCCTTTAAATACGGTTCTTTATGTTGTAACCCAACCATAAAATAATTTTCGTTGCTACTTCATAACTCATGTTGCCACTGTTATGAATCGTCATGTAAATATCTGAACTGCAGGATGGTCTTAGGCGACCCCTGTGAAAGGGTCGTTTGACCGCCAAAGGGGTCGTGACCCACAGGTTGAGAACCGCTGGAGTAGCTGTTGCTTTGTGCTGTGATGGTCAGGGCAGACTACAGAGTAGTGGAATTTGAGCTTTGTTTCAAAACAATGCACTCCTGGTCTTTTTGTTTTGTTTTTAGTCACATTTACCCCCTGGACCAGATAGAAAATGGTCATATTTCTGCAGCTCTGCAGGGTCAGTGGAGGAATCTGTGCCTCCGTCCTCCTGGCCAAAGGGCACTAACTTTGGGGCCCCAGCTCCCTGCACAGAGCGGAGCTCATGGAGCTCCGCCCGGCCGTGCCCAGTTGGTGCCATTGAAGCTGTGCAGTCGGCTGAGGTTCGGAGCCCCAGGCAAGCATGCAGCTGCCCTGTGCTCTTCTTATCTGTAAAGGGATAAAGAATAGTGCCACCCCCACTGTGGTAAAGATGCAATGCGCTCCTGTACTACAGACGTTTTCAGAACAGTGCCTGACCGCAAAGTGAGCCCAACGTACCAGTAAATGAATGATTACACATATTGTTATTGTAGATGAGATTTAATAAGAGGATGAACAAGAGCATTTCTTTGCTGAAGAAAATATAATCATGAGCCAGAGCGTGGAGGAGAAAAGCCCAGTGTTCGCTAAGTCCGTTCTTGGGCATAACTGAACTATCTTCCGTCTCCGCCCGGTGTCTCTGTTCCCTCTCTTCCTTCCGAACCCACTTCCCCGGATGCCAGCTCACTCTCTCCTGGTCCCGTCGAAATGCTGTGCATGGACATTGGAGGGACAGAGAAAAGGACAGCGAAGGACTTGGCACTGAGAAAACCGAGGCCATCAGCTATGACCTCTATTCCCTTCTTCCCCGTGTGTCCTTCCCCTAAGTCCAAATCTTAGAAAATGACTTAAACGATGAGGTTCTGGTCCCCGTTCAAGAGTAGTTCCATCTAGACTTGTGTGGTGACGGCGAAAATAAAGAACATTTTTCATCCATAAAACCATCATCGTCCCTGGAAACCTCTGGAACGTTATCTCTAGGAATGGCAGAGGAGAGGACCTTCCTTTCACATTTGAGAACAGACCCTGGTCAAGCGTTAGGAACACTTACCAGTCCCTCTTGGAGCGATAGCCTTCGTCTTCAGGTGCTGACTCATTCGTCCATGTAGTCATCTGCCTGGCAGGCCAGTGAGAGG